TCCCCAAACTGATCTTTAAAAACCCTTTAAAACCCCCGGTTTGGGGGGTTTGGGGAGGAAACCCATTTGGGAGAGACATACGCTGAGTTTAAAAAGTACCCTACTCTTAGGCCCAAAACACACTCGTTCTTAAACATTTACTCTTAATATTTTTTTGGGATAGCAAACTGTATGGTAGCAAAAAAAATTTTTTTTTTTGTTCCTTAAGAAAGTGAATTTGAAAAAAAATGTTCTTCAAATGATTTGGGTTAAAATGGGGGTTTAAGAACCTTTTTTATTGTGTAGGTGCTGGACCCCTACAACGAACCCGTGTTTAGAACTACGGCCCAAATGCGCCCCCCGACCTTTCCCCCCCTGCCCCGAAGGGAAAAAACGCTAGGGTGGTTTAAACCAAACCTGGCCGTGGGAGGCTTTGGGAAAGAGGGAAACCACTAATTATACCCCCAAAAGTAAGTCCCCCACCCTTCCCCTCAAAATCTACCCCGGTTTTTTTAAAAAATTCAGTATCTTTGGGAAACCCAAAATGATTCAAACCCGCGGGTAAAAAATTAAAAAGAAGAAGAAGTATCACCACACCTAATCAAAGAAAATTTCTTTTTCCATCATCCATGACCCGTGTTATGTAATCCTTCTTAACCCCCGTCCATTTACCTGTACCCGGGGGGAAAATGTTTTTTTAATCCTTTTCACCACCGTCCATGGGCCTGTACCCGGGGGGACAGTGTTACGTAATCCTTCTCACCAAAACCCTCCAGACCTGTAAAACCCCGGGGACAGTGGGTTCGTAATCCTTTCACCCCCGTCCTGACCTGTACCCCCCCGGGGCAGGGGTTTTGTAAAACCTTCTCCCCCGTCCATGACCTGTTCCCGGGGGACAGTGTTATGTAATTTCCCTTTTTCCCCCGTCCGACCTGTTCCCGGGGGGCTTTTTTATGTAATCCTTCTCACCACCGTCCATGACCTGTACCCGGGGGACAGTGTTACGTAATCCTTCTCACCACCGTCCATGACCTGTACCCGGGGGACAGTGTTAGGAATTTCCCTTTTCACCACCGTCCATGACCTGTACCCGGGGGACAGTGTTATGTAATCCTTCTCACCACCGTCCATGACCTGTACCCGGGGGACAGTGTTACGTAATCCTTCTCACCACCGTCCATGACCTGTACCCGGGGGACAGTGTTACGTAATCCTTCCACCAACCTTTCCTTTACCTGTACCCGGGGGACCTTTTTTATGTAATCCTTCTCACCACCGTCCATGAAACCCGTACCCCGGGGGGGAGTGTTTTCGTAATCCCCTTCTCACCCCGTCCCTGACCTTTTAAACCCCCGGGGCGGGGTTTCGTAATCCTTCTCAACGTCCATGGGCCTGGGACCCGGGGGACAGGGTTTCGTAATTTCCCTTTTCACCCCCGTCCCTGGGCCTGTACCCGGGGGGCAGTGTTTTAAAAAGTAATCCTTTCCCCCACCGTCCTTTACCTGTACCCGGGGACAGTGTTATGTAATTTCCCCTCACCACCGTCCATGACCTTTCCCGGGGACATGTTTTGGAAAACCTTCTCACCACCCCCTCCTTTCCTGTTTTTGGGGGCAGTGTTCGTATCCTTTTCACCACCGTCCATGACCCCGTACCCGGGGGACAGTGTTAGAATCCCTTTTCACTACCGTCCCCTGACCCCGTACCCGGGGGACAGTGTTTAAAGTAATCCTTCCCCCACCCTCCCTGACCCGTTTCCCCGGGGGGCAGTGGTTTCGTAATCCTTTTCACCCCCGTCCTTTACCTGTACCCGGGGGACAGTGTTATGTAATCCTTCTCACCACCGTCCATTTACCTTACCCGGGGGGGGCAGTGTTAAAGTAAACCCCTTTTCACCAACCCTCCATGACCTGTACCCGGGGGACAGTGTTACGTAATCCTTCTCACCACCGTCCATGACCTGTACCCGGGGGACAGTGTTACGTAATCCTTCTCACCACCGTCCATGACCTGTACCCGGGGGACAGTGTTACGTAATCCTTCTCACCACCGTCCATGCCTTACCCGGGGGGGGCAGTGTTAAAGTTTTCCTTTTCACCACCGTCCGACCTGTACCCGGGGGGGCAGTGTTTCGTAATCCTTCTTTACCACCGTCCATGAACCCGTACCCCGGGGGGCAGTGTTTTTCGTAAACCCTTTTCACCCCCCGCCGACCTGTACCCGGGGGGCAAATTTTTACGTAATCCTTTCAAACCCCCGTCCAGGAACCCTTTCCCGGGGGGCAGTGTTACGTTTAAACCCTTTTCCCCCACCGTCCATGACCGGTTTCCCGGGGGGCAAATGTTATGTAAACCTTCTCACCACCGTCCTGACCTGTACCCGGGGGACAGTGTTACGTAAACCTTTCACCACCGCCTTTAAACCCGTACCCGGGGGGCCGTGTTTTCGTAATCCTTCTCACCACCGTCCTGACCCCGTTCCCCGGGGGGCAGTGTTACGTAATCCTTTTTCCCCCACCCTCCATGACCCGTACCCGGGGGGCAGTGTTACGTAATCCTTCCACCACCGTCCCCTGACCCGTTTCCCGGGGGGGGCAGTGTTTTTTAAAAAACCTTCCACCACCCTTTCCCGACCTGTACCCGGGGACAGTGTTATGGGAATTTCCCTTTTCACCCCCGTCCATGACCCGTACCCCGGGGGGCAAAAATTACGTAATCCTTCTCACCCCCGTCCATGACCTTACCCCGGGGGGCAGTGTTTCGTAATCCTTCTAAACCCCCGTCCATTTAAACCCGTAAACCCCGGGGGCCCGGTTTTTGTAATCCTTCTCCCACCTCCATGACCCGTACCCGGGGGGGAGTGTTATTAAACCTTTTCACCACCGTCCATGAAACCCGTAAACCCGGGGGGCAGTGTTATGTAATCCTTCCAAAACCCCTCCATGCCTTTTTACCCGGGGGGGCAGTGTTTTCTAATTTCCCTTTTCCCCCCACCGTCAAAGACCTGTACCCGGGGGGCAGTGTTTTGTAATCCTTCTCACCAACCCTCCAAGACCCGTACCCGGGGGGGGCAGGGTTAGTAATCCTTCTCACCACCGCCATGACCCGTTTTCCCGGGGGGCAGGGTTACGTAATCTTCCACCCCCCGTCCATGACCTGTACCCGGGGACAGTGTTTTTAATCCCCTTTTTCACCCCGTCCATGACCTGTTCCCGGGGGGCAGTTTTTATGTAATCCCTTTTCACCCCGTCCCTGGGCCCAACCCCCGGGGGGCAGGGGTTACGTAATCCTTCTTTACCACCGTCCAAGACCTGTACCGGGGGACAGTGTTATGTAATCCTTCTCACCACGTCCCGAAATTTTACCCCCCGGGGGGGGGGCAGTGTTATGTAACCCTTTTCCCCCACCGTCCAAGACCTGTTCCCGGGGGGCAGTGTTACGTAAAACCTTTCACCACCGTCCATGACCCGAAACCCGGGGGGCAGTGGGTTTTGTTTAATTTTTTTCCCACCGTCCATGACCTGTTTCCGGGGGGACAGTGTTTCGTAATCCCTTTTCAAACCCCGCCTTTACCCGTACCCGGGGGGCCCGTGTTTTGTAAATCCTTTTCACCAACCCTCCATGAAACCCGTACCCGGGGGACAGTTTACGTAATCCTTTCACCACCGGGCCATGGGCCTGTACCCCGGGGGGCAGTGTTTCGTAAAACCTTCTCACAAACCCTCCCTGACCCGTACCCGGGGGGCAGTGAAAGAATCCTTCTCACCCCCGTCCATGAAACCCGTACCGGGGGACAGTTTTTTTCGGGAATCCTTCCACCACCCTCCATGACCTGTAAACCCCTTGGGGCAGTGTTTTTGAACCTTCTCACCACCGCCATGACCCTTTCCCGGGGGGCAGTGTTATGTTAAACCCCTTTCACCCCCGTCCTTTACCTGGGTTTCCCCGGGGGAAAAGTGTTTTCGTAATCCTTCTCCAAACCCCCGTCCCTGACCGTACCCGGGGGGGCAGTTGGTTTTTGTAATCCTTCTCACCCCTCCATGACCTGTACCCGGGGGGAAAAGTTTTTTAAAGTTTAAACCCTTTTCACCACCGTCCAGACCGTAAAACCCGGGGGCAGTGTTTACGTAATCCCTTTTCATTTATCACATGAAAAAAAAACTCATTCAAAGGGAAAAGGGACATATTTAATTTTAAAAAAGGGTTTTTTGCTTATAAAACAAATGAAATTTGAAAAAAGTGCCGGGTTTATAATGTAAAAAAGAACCGAAAAAAGTTTCTAAATCACCTGAGTCCAGGAAATATTTGTTTATTGTCAGGGGAAAAGTTCGATGTATTTGTTTTTTTCTGTTTTTTGATGGATCGAGCGTGGCTCCAGGCAAGGGCCTTCGGTTTACTCCTCCGTTTTAGGGTGCTGAAGGCTCACAACTTTGATGGTCCCGGCATGGGCTGGAGTAAACCCCACCCCCGTGGAAGGGGGAAAAACCCGGGAAAAAAGGTGGTCCCCTGGCTTTACTCTAAAAATTACAGTTTTAAATTGGGTTTTAAAATGATAATTAAAAAAATTCAAGGGAATTTCGCCCAAACCCTTCACGATCACACAGAGTCTGAAAAAGAATACAAAGGGGAAAAATACTTTCTCTCCCCGCAGAAATTTCCACTAGGAAAAATCTCTCAGCATTTTGCATGACTGATTATTTATTTCCCGCACGCAAAATTAAACCCAAAACTCACCCGGGGGGGTGATTGTCATGAAGACCTTAAAAATTTTAGATGGCCACCCTGATAAGCTCTTTTTTGTGATACTGAAATGCTCCCCCCCAGAGGGAAATTTATTATGTACGGAAAAATCCCAAGGGAAATTTTTGACACACGAGGCCCGTTATAAATTTAGGCTTTTTTCATCATGTACAAAAATCACAGGCGCCCGCTGTTGGGGGTTTTCCTTTGTAATGACTAAATACAAGTCACAAATTTGGTGTCCCGTCCACAGGAGAACTTCATCAGCCTTCTGTCAGACCTGAAGACGGCACTCCACGCTGAAGGAATGATCCTGACGGCTGCTGTGTCAGCAGGAAAGCTGACCATCGACCCAGCCTACAATATCCCCGCCATGGCTGAGAACTTGGACATTGTCAACCTGATGGCGTACGACCTGCACGGTGCCTGGGAGACCTACACCCACCACCAGTCTGGTCTCTATCCTTACCCTGACGACACCGGAGATAACGTTTACCTCAACCAGGTGAGATAACTCAGTGTATTACGTAACTTCCGTCTATTTGCACATATATTTCTCATTAACAATTTCCGTTCATCCATTATGAACAATTACGCAATATATAAACTTATTTTTACCTAAATTTACGTAAGAATTAAGGCAGTGTATATCCTGTAAGAAGATAATTCATATAAAATAACAGACATTTATGATGGTCTAAAAATACAGTACATATACAATTAGTCGTATGATTAATACTTATTGACAAGAAATACGGTTAATAGGAACGTCTCGTAACGATGACTGTACAGCAATAAATATTTACATCGACTGTTGTATAAGACATGATGGTGTTCGTACAGGACTTCGCTGTGAGGTACTGGATAGACGGAGGAATGCCAAGCACCAAGATCGCTCTGGGAGTGCCTCTGTACGGCCGCTGCTACAAGCTGGACTACAGCACTGACGAGACTGGTTACTACGCCCCTGCCAGCCAGCCAGGACCAGCTGGACCTTACACCAGGAGTCCAGGCTTCCTGGGCTACAACGAGGTAATAAAGAATTCTACACCTCGTAGAGAACAAGTGTCACCTGTGTAGTGAGACTAAGAGAATACAATCAATTTTCTTTCAGCAGAAATGCAACACCATCAGGAGTTCATTGTCACCTTTCAACTTCATTTTTACAGATCTGTGAGTTCCAGAAGGATGAGGGTGACTGGGTAGTGGAGATAGCACCAGGTATGAACGAGCCTTACACCTACAGCTACAACCACGAGAGGATCTGGTGCTCTTACGATGACCACGACTCTTGTGTCGTCAAGGTAAGTTAGAGCTCTTTCAACCCTTTTACTTCCCCTCACCGTAACTCGAATTTTCAATAACTTCTCAGAATACTGACTTTAATTTCGTCATTCAGGAGTAAATCGTCCTAACGTGTTGATTATATCTGTCACCTGTGCAGGCCAACTACGCTAAGAGCATGAACCTGGCTGGTATGATGGTGTGGAGCATTGAAACTGATGACTTCCTGGGTTACTGTGACGAAAGACCCTTCGATCTTATCAAGACCCTGAGGGAGACCTTCACCGGGGAAGTTATCCCCACACCACCCACACCACCCACCACTACTGCTGTAAGTTATCCCCACACCACCCACACCACCCACACCACCCATCACTACTGCTACTACTATTATTATTAATATTAATATTAATATTATTATTAATAATAAAATAACCTTACAAATTCATATTAAATTCAGCGGCTGTAGAAACATTACAGGATATTCTGCCATCTTCCCTGCCAAACATTTATAACAGTCTCAAGTCAGCTAATACTTAAATTAATAATGATGATAAGGATTTTTAAGTATTAACAGATTTATGGGGGGGGGGAAATTCGTTGATAACATTTCCTGCATGTGTGCAGGATCCTGACGCGACCACCACCCCGTCCACCACCACTCGAGGTCCTCCTCCACCTGACGGTGTGTGTTCCAAGCCAGGTCTCAACCCTGACCCTGAGAACTGTCACCACTACTACCTCTGTGCCCCGGTGAGTCACCTAACTCTTTGTACTACTAGTACTACTACTACTACTACTACTACTACTACTACTCAGTAGGTTTGTGAATGTGGAAATTAAACAGTTTTGATGTAAAAAAGTAGTATAATTATGAAGGAAGTAGTGTAAATGAACGAGTTTTAACTCGACATAAAATACTATTGTATCATACAATACCTAGTAATGTATAATGCAGTGTAACTAGAAGTGCACTAAATCATTATTACGAAAGAAAACATTTCTCATTTTTATTGTTATTTAAAAACCTTCATGGTGGCTTCGTCTTTACTGATTTCAGTTCACCTTAGATACGAAGTTAATTTTTTTTTAAAACGTCACTGAGATGGTGTATTCGTTAATTCACACTCGCTTATAAGAGTAACAAAAACAAAACTTTGTTTATGGCCCCAGAACACTGAGAACGGTTACGACGCGACTGAGGAAGTGTGTCCTGAGGGCACCCTCTTCAACCCCAACGCTAATATCTGCGACTGGGAAGCTTCCGTCTGCGCTATCAGCGGAACCTGCACCAACGACTGTCCCTGAGTGTTGTCCTGAGCTGTCAGCGGAGCCTGCACCAACGACTGTCCCTGAGTGTTGTCCTGCGCTGTCAGCGGAGTCTGCACCAACGACTGTCCCTGAGTGTTGTCCTGCGCCTCGCCAGGCACTGTCAGAGCCTCTGCAGTGTCGTCAGTCATCTCTCCCAAGATCCTTCTCAAAATTCACCTGAAGATTTTTTTTTTTATTTTGACTCGTATAAACAATTTTGAAAGTTTATGGGAAATTCCATATCTAGTTTCATTATGCTTTGCTTTTCACCGTGTTAGACTGTATTTATTTCCAGCTCCTGGGTCTTTAGGGATGTTGATTTACAACTCCTGGGTCTCTTTTCGTGTTGATCTACAACTCCTGGGCCTCATAGGTGTTGAGGTTCAACTCCTGGGCTTTTGGGGTGTGGATCTACAATTCCTGGGTCTTTGGGGATGTTAATCTACAGTCCGTGGGCCTCTGTGGTGTTGAGTTACAGTTCCTGGGCCTTGTGATGTACACAATCCTTCTCAGGAGCTCAAGCTGCATCTCTCTAGTCTTGATTACGCTTTATTTAGGGTGTATTTGTTAAAATTTCTTTACTGTATTTGGTTGATAAAGACAACACTGTAGCCTGTATTATGACTGTAATAAAACTGTATAGTTGTAAATAATAAAATAAAAATATACTTTATTTCTTTTAATATCAATAATAGAGACAAGAAAATATCTTAATGACAATTAAAAGGAAGTAGAGGATGATTCCAGCTCCTTGGATCAAGAGCCCCTCACCACTTAGACTGTGTAGGCGCAAATTGGTCAATATTATTGTGAAACTGGGTGGTAATAATTTTTTTCCAGAGGGCTGTAACTTGAGAATGCCTTCACCTGATCGCTTCAAACGTAACTGTGAAAAGGAAACTGGATACCCAATGTGACACTCTAGAATGGTATTTTTCTGCTCGCTTAAACTTGTAGTGCACAGTATTGCCCTTACAGAAAGTTTTACCATGTATTGTACATGTATGGTGCCATGTAGGATACATGTTGGTACAAATGTATGGTACATGTATGGTACATGTATGTACATTATGGTACATGTATGGTACTGAATAGTATACAATACCAACAATGTTATAAGAAATAGATCCACATGTGTAACATCTGGTGTATCTTTATGTAGACGTTCCGCCCTAGAGTTGCATAACATCTCCATAAGTCCTTGAATTTGTATGATAAAGTCACTGGAGGGCGAAACGTCTACAAAAATGATAAACCCTGAATATTGGACGTGTGTGTAATCTTCATCTACAGAGAGGCTCATAATATGATGTGTTTGTGTGAGATCATACCACCTTGGCTCTGTGATGCTGTTGATGTTGATGTGTTGTGTGAGTCATGACACCTTGGCTCTGTGATGATGTTGATGTTGATGTGTTGTGTGAGTCATGACACCTTGGCTCTGTGATGCTGTTGATGTTGATGTGTTGTGTGAGTCATGACACCTTGGCTCTGTGATGATGTTGATGTTGATGTGTTGTGTGAGTCATGACACCTTGGCTCTGTGATGATGTTGATGTTGATGTGTTGTGTGATCCATGACACCTGGCTCTGTGATGCTGTTGATGTTGATGTGTTGTGTGAGTCATGACACCTTGGCTCTGTGATGCTGTTGATGTTGATGTGTTGTGTGAGTCATGACTCCTTGGCTCTGTGATGCTGTTGATGTTGATGTGTTGTGTGAGTCATGACACCTTGGCTCTGTGATGCTGTTGATGTTGATGTGTTGTGTGAGTCATGACTCCTTGGCTCTGTGATGCTGTTGATGTTGATGTGTTGTGTGAGTCATGACACCTTGGCTCTGTGATGATGTTTGATGTTGTGTGTTGTGTGAGTCATGACACCTGGCTTAGAGTCTCTGTGATGCTGTTGAATGTTGATGTTTTGTGTGAGTCCTGCTCCTTGGCTCTGTGATGCTGTTGATGTTGATGTGTTGTGTGAGTCATGACTCCTTGGCTCTGTGATGCTGTTGATGTTGATGTGTTGTGTGAGTTCATGACACCTTGGCATCTGTGATGATGTTGATTGTTGATGTGTTGTGTGAAGACAGGACACCTGGCTCTTGTGATTGATGTGATGTTGATGTGTTGTTGGATCATAACACTTGGCTCTGTGATGCTGTTTGATGTTGATGTGTTTGCGTGAGTCATGACTCTTGGCTCTGTGTGCTGTGTGATGTTTTATTTGTTGTGTGAGACATGACACCTTGGCTCTGTGCAGCTGTTGATGTTGATGTTGTTGTGTGAGACATGACACCTTGGCTCTGTGAGTTGCTGTTGATGGTTGAAGATGTTGTGTGAGTCATGACAACCAACCTTGGCTCTGTGATGCTGTTTGAGTTGATGTGTTGTGTGATTCAAGACGACTTGGCTACAGTGATGTCTGTTGATGTTATGTGTTTGTGAGTGATCATGACACCTTTGCTCTGTGAAGCAGTTGATGTTGATGTGTTTGTTGAGTCATGACACCTTGGCTCTGTGATGCTTTAGTGATGTTGAGTGTGTATGTGTAGTCATGACTCCTTGGCTTCTGTGATGCTGTTGATGATGATGTGTGTTGTGTGAGTCAAGACACCTTGGGGGGGGCCCCACCTCCTGTGATTCTGGAACTTGATGTTTATGTGTTTGTGTAGAGTCATGGACTCCTGGCTCTGTGATGGATGTTGATGTTGATGTGTTTGTTTGAGTCCTGACACCTTGGCTCTGAATGCCTGTTGATTTGATGTGTTGTTGAGTCATGACACTCTTGCTCAGTGATGCGTTTGAAGTTGATGTGTATGTTTGAGTCTTGACACCTTGGCTCTTTGATGCTGTATGATGTTGATGTGATTGTGTGAGTCATGAAACACCTTGGCTCTGTGATGCCTGTTGATGTTGAGTGTTGTGTGAGTCCAGACACCTTGGCTCAGTGATGATGTTGATGTATGATGTGTTGTGTGAGTCATGACTCGCTTGGCTCTGTGATGCCCCCTAGTTGATGTTGAAGCGTGTGTGAGTCATGACACCTTGGCTCTGTTATGCTGTTGATGTTTGAGGTGTTTTTGGTGGAGATCATGACGCTTGGCTCTGTGATGCTGTTGATGTTGATGAGTTGGTTGTGAGTCATGACAACCTTGTCTCTGTGATGTGTTGATGTTGATGTGTTGTGTGATCATGACACCTTGGCTCTGTGAAGCTGTTTATGTTGATGTTTGTGTGAGTCATGACAGACTTGGCTCTGTGATGCTTGTTGAGTTGATGTTAGTTGAGTCCATGACACCTTTGGCTCTGAGAAAGATGTTGATGTTGATTGTTTTTTGTGGAGTCATGACACCTTGCATCTGTGATGCTGTTGATGATGATGTGTTTGTGTGAAGTCATGACACCTGGCTCTGAGATGCTGTAGATGTTGAAGTGTTGTGGTGATCATGCCACCTGCTCCTGTGATGATGTTGATGTTGATGTGTTGTGTGAGTCATGACTCCTTGGCTCTGTGATAGCCCGTTGATGTTTGAATGTTTGTGTGGAGTCAATGACTCCTTGGCTCTGTATGTCTGGATGTAGATGTGTTTTTTTGAGTCATGACAAAACCTTGGCCTCTGTGATGCTGTTTGTGATGTTGAGTGTTTTGTGTGAGTCATGACTCCTTGGCTCTGGGGAGAAGCTGTTTGATGTGATGTGTTGTTTGCAGTCATGACAACCTTGGCTCTGTGATGCATGTTAGATATTGATGTGTTGTGTGAGTCATGACTCCTTGGCTCTGTGATGCTGTTGATGTTGATGTGTTGTGTGAGTCATGACACCTTGGCTCTGTGATGCTGTTGATGTTGATGTGTTGTGTGAGTCATGACAACCATGGCTCTGTGATAGCTTGAATTGATGTTGATGTTTGTGCTGAGTCATGACACCTTGGCTCTGTGATGCTGTTGATGTTGATGTGTTGTGTGAGTCATGACACCTTGGCTCTGTGATGCTGTTGATGTTGATGTGTTGTGTGAGTCATGACACCTTGGCTCTGTATGCTGGTAGATTTTGAATGTGTTTGTGTGAGTTCATGACTCCTTGGCCTCGTTATGCTGTTGATGTTGATTGTGTTGGTGGGAGTCATGACACCTTGGCTCTGTGATGCTTTGATGTTGATTGTGTTTGTGTGAGTTACATGACACCTTGGCTCTGTGAAGCTGTTGATGTTGATGTGATTTTGTGTGAGTCCATGACACCATTGGCACTGTGATGCTGTTGAATGTTGATGTGTTGATGTGAGTCAATTGACACCTTGGCTCTGTGATGATTTGATGTTGATGTTTTGTGTGAGTCATGACTCCTTTGCTCTGTGATGCTGATATTGTTGAAGTGATGTGTGAGGTCATGACTCCTTGGCACTGTGATGGCTGTTGATGTTGTTGATGTGTTTTGTGGGAAGTCTAGACTCCTTGGCACTGTGATGATGTGAGTGTTGATGTTTGTGTGAGTCATGACTCCTTGGCTCTGTGATGAGTTGCTGTTGAGTGTAGTGTGAGTCATGACTCCTTTACTGTCTCTGTGATGCTGTTTGATGTTGATGGTGTTGTGTGAGTCAAAGACTCCCTTGGCTCAGTGATGCTGTTAATGTTTGATGTGTTGTGTGAGTCATGACTTCCTTGGCTCTGTTATGCTGTTGAATGTTGATGTGATTGTGTGAGTCCAATGACTCCTTGGCTCTGTGATGCTGTTGATGTGATTTTGTGTGTGTCATGACACCTTGGCTCAGTGATTCTGTTGATGTGTAGGGGGGGGGGGGGGGGGTGGGGGTTGATCTGAACCGTAAAATATTGGTGGATGGTGGACGGACGTTTAGTGTGTGTTTGGGTGACAATGTATGGTGTGTGTGTGTTTTGGTGACTGATTATTTAGAGTGTGGTGGTGGCTGGGTGTTTAGAATGTGTTTGGTGACTGTGTTATTTAAAGTGGAGTGTGTTTGAAGACTGTGAGGTAGAG